CACACATTACACGCCAGAAGAGACGAAGCAACGTTCACACGTTGGAAACGATGATCATCGGAGAGTTTCAGGCACCCAAGCACTTTCTTTATGGAGCTTTCCCATATTCCCTAGATGTTTACGTATTGTTTCATGTAATTTCAAGGACATTTCATGAGTGTATTGCATTGGGTTAGACTCAACAAGCGTCTTCAAAGTATCAATATCAATTCCAACATGTCGACCCCTGCCATCACAGTTTTTAAGGCTAAAGTCACCTGAACGAAATTTGCTGAGCCATCGTTGACATTTACGAACGTTCAGAACATTTCCATAAACTTCTTTGATATTCTTTGCAGCGACAGAGACGTTGTTTCTCTTCTTGTATTTAAACAGCATTATATGCCGAATGTGTGTCTCGTCGTGTGCCATCACTATAAGGGATTAGAGTATTTATTTATTTATTTACTTATGCTTGTAATTTATGGAGGAGCCATCAGCAGATGATATGCCCCCAATTTCACTGATCTCAACTAATAGAACTAGATCCTCTCGTCATTTATTTTATTAGATATCATTAAGTATATATTTTTCTTGCATTTGATTGTGTTGTACTAACAATCTTATGAGTTAATGTTATTGTAACAAAATATAATTATACGTATGATTAATTGATTGCGTTAAGAACAATTCGTAAATACAAATACGTTAGGATACTCAACACATACAATTAGTTGTAAAAGATATGATTATTAAAAAAAGGGTTACGTAGTTAGTTCTTCTCGACTGGGGCGACTCCAGCCATTTGAAACAAAGATAAAAAAATAGCCCTATTAGTAAAAGGGATTAGAGTATACTAAAACTTACACATTATATAGGTTACACTGACGTGACGTTTAGGCGGTTCGTTTAACTATTATACGTGATGTACGTTTTTTGGGAGTGATTAATGAAAGTGTTCCAAAACGCAACATTAATTTCTTGACGACCTAATATATTCATCATAAACAAGATGGGAATTCAGAAACCACATTTTTATCACATTTTATTGTAGTGATAGCGAAAGAACGTAACATTGTTGAATAATAAATTTTTACTTGCTTCTATCTAACAGCTTTAGTGTTAGAAAATATGATTTATTTGAAAAACGGTAAGTGGCTTTGATGTTTTAGAATGTCACTACTGCGTTATCTTACAACCCACTTTTTATCCAAAGTTTAAAGCCCCCAATGGCACAGCAGTAAGTGTGAAAGTTTATAATAATAAAAATTGGTCACACCCGTTGTGGTCACAGCACAGATAGTTCATTTTGTACCTTAACTTCAAACAAACACATAAACCAAAGGTTATGAAGAAACAAATGTTGTCATAATCATTTGCTATTTTCGCGAATTATAGATAAAAAATAATGAGATTTTTATTTAATTATGCTTTTTAACTCTGAAACATAGAACATAACAAGAAATCATAAGTGTCCTTTCTCTTCACTATTTTTGTGTCTACAGATTTCTTCCAGTTACTGTGCGGCACTGTTGTGAAAGACGGTGTTGAGGGAATATGCAGGGTCTGGATTCTGTGGCACCCCTTGATACTCTTGTACAAATATAGTACTGTTGAGGTAAGTTTGGAAACTTTGTTATGTGCTGAATGTATGAAGCAACTTAATACACGACCCTGTGAAAAATATCTGGCACATTGTCATAGATGAGGGAAGAGCGGGTAATTACTGTTCTAACTCGATATAACTTTGTTCTTGGCCTTCTGCGAGGTATGTTTTCAGCTAAATTCCAACTGGTTTCTGGTTCCGTTACGGACTCATACACTCGATCTGTTGTAAGTCTGACCTTTCCAGTTAATCTCTAGGGATGTTGTCATCTTCGAATCAAGATCTGGGTTCTGCTACATGAAACGTACCAATATCTTCATATCGTTGCTTTGAAATCAAGGGGGAAAACATTAGAGAAGGACATTATCAACGACCACAAAACTCTACCATAAGCCTTTAAATCTGTCTATTACAATCACTTGATATCCAGAGGTATTAAAACAGGTAAACAATTCACATTGCTCTACAAATGTGCAATTAGTCTGGAACTTCCTTGATATCTTATTGAGGGTTCACGATGAGCGAATTAGTTTGGAGTTGATGTAGATACAATTCACTTAATAGGAAGCTAGCTAGCTCTGTTCTTCATTCTTCGACGGCCACACACGCCGAGTTGTCCACCAATGAAGTTATACTGTATAATGTTTTCGTAAAAATACAAAGATCCGATGTGAATCCGCTGAAATTAAATGGTTTGTAATATTCAAAATCTATAAACGTTCCTGGTCATATATTTGAAGTTCTTGATTAATAAACGTTATAACAATCACAGTTATAGCTTCCGCGGTTTATAGTACACCAACTATAGCAAACCAAAAATATATATATACTGTCTTTTGGCATATCGCGTTAGTTATACTTATAGGCGTGAGGAGAGTTTCTCGAAATTTCAGCTTACGCAACATTATAACCGATACACCAGTGTTTACGTACATACATATTTTGTTGATTCTTACACTCGAGAATTTTCTAAAGTTTTAGTTAACAGGTGGAAATTTCGTAATACAGATTTAACATCGATATTAAAATAGATATAGGGTAGTAAATCCGTCACAATATATACAATCTTAAAACAAAAAATCAAAACCAGCATACAACCATAGCATCTAATTACCTGAATTCTGTCCAATTTATTACAGAGTTAGTCTTAGATTAACTTCATAAAAAAACCTGTGTTTTCAAATTACTTCATTTCAAATAGTATATTTAGTTATATCTTTGTCAAAACTTTCTTTCTGACTATATTGTGTTTATATATATAGGCTGTACTGCGAAGTTCAACAAACATAGAAAAAGCATTTCAGTACGATCTTCTTCGACCATGGCTTAGAGATGGTTTAGTAACAAGGTGAGTATCTCTTTTCTTCAGGACCGAGTATGGCCAGCAGTATGATTGTCCGAACTGTGTATACAAGAATTCATTATTCGCGTGCCGTTGCCGTAAAAAAAGGTGCTCCTCATTTTGGAGCAATAGCAGTTGGCGGTAAGTGCTGTTGATTTGCTCCTTTCTTCTAATTTATCAGTTCAATATTAGAGATGGCTGTGTGCAGATTTGCGCGAAAATTCTAACACAAACAAACAAACGAATGTTGTTGTTTTTTACGAACTGTGGTAATCTGAAAATAAAATCAATCATTACACTAAAAATAGGAATCAAAATTACCTTCGCTCGTCTTGTATTCTTGCATTGTTTGTATTTCATGGACGTTGTTAAGATAACTAGAAACAAGCAGGTCCTGTCCATTAAACTGCTACGGCTATATTGCTTGCTACGGTTACATTGCCTAAAATACACCTGTTACAACAGGTTGTTTAAATATTTTGCCGAATTAAAATTATTTTAAATAAAATTAAGCATTTAAAAAAAAATTCAAACTTGATATTTACCAAGTATTATATATTTTTTCTTATATAAAGCATCATCCAAATATGCTGTACCATTACTGTCTCGAATGAGCAGTTGTACAACTATTGCGGAAGATCCTATAAAGCTGATTATGAACCCACAACATATGTGAAAATTAATGTAGTAATTAAGTATTTTCTCGATTTTAACGAGAATGATACACAACAGCAACGTGCTATTTTGCCTTTTATTACAGCTTCATAAATGTTTCTCTTCGTACTACTGCCATGGAAATGTGCCAACATTTTCAATTCATTCAACACATTTCTGAAATAAAACCCGAAAGTTTGTTTGTTTGTTTTGAATTTCGCGCAAAGCTACACAAGGGCTATCTGCACTAGCCGTCCCTAATTTAGCAGTGTAAGACTAGAGGGAAGGCAGTTAGTCATCACCACCCACCGCCAACTCTTGGGCTACTCTTTTACCAACGAATAGTGGGATTGACCGTCACATTATAACGCCCCCACGGCTGAAAGGGCGAGCATGTTCGATGTGACGGGGATTCGAATCCGCGACCTGCAGATTGCGAGTTGCGCTCCCTAACCACCTGGCCATGCCGGGCCAAAACCCGAAAGAACAACATTGTAATCGGTAATAAGCTGGTTTATCTTCACATTCAGTATCATTTGTATCATTTCTCGAACTATGTAACCTAACTTGTATTATTAAACCAGTTAGTAATTTCAGAAATATATAATTTTAGTCGTTATTGTATACTAAATATCGTTGTATGAAAAAAAAACATATCGTTATCATATCTGAATAATAATAATCCTTGATTGTTAAACATGATTGTTTCTAATTATTTCAAGACTATGCTAGCAACCATATTCGTCTATAACGACTAAAAAGCATTCACTTCACATTAAATGTCAAAGAGTTTCGAGTGTTTCGCCATATAATCCCATTTCAGCCTATTACGTAGGGATTTCTTTTCTGTTTTTAACATAGCATTTAGAACACGCCTTGGTACTTTACAAATAATGAAATTTCATGTTTTTAATAATTAACAGTTACTGTTGTTGACTTCTTAGTGCAAAACTACATAATGAGCTATCTGTACCGTACCCACGGCGGGGAATCGAACCTCGAATTTTAACGTTACAAATCCTCAAATTTACTGACGCACCGTGGGACAATAGTTGCCAGAATCTTTGTTTTACAGTAAATATGAATTGGCCCCAAACTAATTCCTGAAACATATCATGTGAGGGTTTGCATGGGAGGATTTCACTTCATTAAACTGAGCATACTATTGTCTAGAATTTGAATAAATAATAAACTACTTATAAGAAAACTCTCTGGTTCAATAACTTTCTAACAGTATCAATTGCTTTAGTGTAATGAATGCTTTCAACAACCTTATTAAATAGTTGTACTTTTTTAAAATCTAATAACGTATTAATTCTAACCAGTAATGTTGAAATAATTAATTCGGTTCAATGCCCCTGGGCCAAGG